TATATATATATATATATATATATATATATATATATATATACTGTTTGGAAATGGGCAGATCTTGCAACATTTTCAATGTCATGTTTTGATTAAGATCGAGGAAAACAAGCAAGGTGTCATGATGAAGAGATTATAGTGATACCACTGAGACCGCTGCCGCTCATGTTATATGGGTGAAGCATTTGCCTCTTAAGTTAATATGAAAGACAACTTGAATATAGTGCAATCGATACGTTTGTCAAAGTGTGTGTGGCATAATCCCGCTGGGATAAGAAGTGTATGACCGTATGAAAAGATAGCGAAGATTCTATACGAGGTTGAGAATGCATAACCAGCGGTATAAACCAGACTTAATGGCCGTCTCCAGGAAATAAAATCAGAATAGCTAACCTGTGTTCTCGAAGTTTGTCATTCTCATCCCATTTTTTTGCACTATAAACACTGGATTTCCGTCATAGGATAGAAGCGGCGAAGACATTTCATAATAGGAAGGAAGATGGTTGTTTATTTCTATCTTCTTACAGTGTTCCTGTTCCTGCAAATGTGGTTTAAGTTGTCGTTTGTTGTGAAAATTCTTGAAGACTACAGTGATGGTGAGGTATTTGCTAAATTTGGACCCCAAGCAAGATTAAACCGCGATTGGCCTTTCCAGGAGTCGCATGAGGAGGGGTTATACACTCCACCACTGAACTTTTTGAAGACTACTTTTATTTCAAAGTATAGATTTTTCATTCTTCTAGATTCATTATTAACATTCGCACCTTTTTGTGTGATTTGAGAGAAAGCCATAGACATCGTATTCTATAAAACTGTAGTTTTATTGGGAGGGAGGGAGGGAGGGGGGTACAAATATAGAGACGGACGAAACGAGGGACCCGCATGGTGTAGTGGTGAACGCGTTACTCCCCGGAAAGGACAATAGCGCGTTCGTTCCCTACCGCAAACACCAGAGGTCCGGAGTTTTGCAAATATCTCAGTATCATTAAAACTGTAGTTTCTAAATATTGGACTAACGGGACGCAAAACGTGCTGGAGGATAAAGCAGCTTGTACTGAAATGAGCCAAATTCAATATAAATCTGAGACCAAGTGTGTATGCAAGTTTTTTCTATTCTATTTTTTTTGATGGCCAACTATTTTTCTGTGAATTTTCGTGAAAATTAGCTACCAAGGAGTGCCAGAAAATTCTTTGGTTGTTTTAAATGAACCTAGAAATCCTTCTTTTCCTTTATTTTCCTAGAAATTGCTTAGCTCGTCCATTTAAAGGTAGACTCAACTTTTGCTAGGGATCTTTGTAATACTTACCTGTTTTTTTAATTGCATATTTAATTTCTTTTTTCAGAATGCTGATGAGCGGAAAATCGAAGTTACGCTGAAGGGTTGCTGGCAACACGACAAAGAAGTTATCGCAGACTGTAAAGTTCAAGATGAGGTAAAAATAAAGATAGTATTTGTTCTCATCTGTTATCTCAGCTTGCTGTATTCGGCAGAAATGACCACTTTCACCGTAATTTCTTTTGAAAGTATTCAGATGGAGCATAGTTTTATCTTGCACTCAGTAACTCTTTCTGTATTTCCTCACACATTTGCCTCCATAATCACTTGTTTTTTTCCACAAGATTCTGCAGTTTCATGTTTATAAGGAAGAGCAAAACGGTGTTCTTTAGAAATTTGTAGAGCGTTTTAAAGAATTGACAGTGTCATGCTTTACTTTTTGATAGTTCTTTGGCTTTATCTTCTAGAACTATATTTGTAGGGAATGTTATCAATACTTGGAAAAACTTCCCATTCATTTAAAAATGATGGGATGATGATTGTGTATTACAAATCATTTGGGACTCATGGTATTGTTGTAGTGCGTCGCGGAAAGCGGTAGACGTCAGCCAAGACCAAATATGGAGTTCTGTTGCTGCCGGTCACATATGTGCAATAAGAAAGTGTCGATACGAGTTGTGGATGAGCTGAGGATTGACGTCCCATCGACGGTTATTAATGGTCCGTTGTTTTTACGTAGCCTACAACTATATGGCCTGTTAGAGAAAGGTCAAAACTTCCATTTTCCTTATTTGTTATGAATCGCAGCGCAGTTCATTCATTTTATTCAAAAATTCTCTATGGTATATGTTTATCTTCCCAACAGTTTACCGCCTCATCATTGCTTGGAGGTGTTCTTGGGTGTCGCGCTGCGATATATAGCGAGGGAATGCGTCCCATCGGCGATGTCACCTAAGCTGAGAATGAGTCCAGCGTTTCCATCAGGAAGGCTAGCTAAGACTAAACCAATACCAGGATCCACTACCGTCCTGCTATGGAACTAGTCGCATGGTGGTAAATGCCCCTTTGATCCACAAGTGCGGCGACTGCCTGTGGTGGTGACGGCTTCGGGCAGACTTTGGCCAGGCTGACCTAGAGACTCCAGGCAACCACATTAGCTATACCAGCAAAACAACAAAAAAGCGGAAATTATGCTGGAGCCCGCACAATCTGTGAAGAGAGGCCATCCAAATATTCAAGTAAGAAATATATATATATATGCCTATACACAACAGCAGCCAAAGTATGTGTCCATTTACTACGGAAAAGAAAATTCTTAGTGTTAATCACTGATCATTGTGAAATACTTATGCTGGCTCTAAAGTGATCTTAAAGTAATTTTATCTTGTGTTCATTCAAGCAATGGAGATGTCAAATCTGGAGGAAGTGATACAATAATTACTTGTGTAGTTCACTTTGCAGTGAACGATTAATTCTTAAACTCAATCAAGAGAAGGCAAGTGGGTTCGCAGAAATGATGGATATACTGCTGATAAAAATGTGTAGTTTAGATCTAGGTCTTGAAAAGATGTTCGAGGTGTGCTGGCTTTCAAGTTGTTAACAGAAAATTTTCACTTGCAAGTTTCTTAAAACTGCGGATATCAAGAAGAACATGTACGTTTCCATATAGGCATTTCCTAAACAGTGAAAATAAACTGCGTTGGTATCTGCCGTGGGGAATGAACTCGCTATTATCCTTTCCAGGTGCAAACGCGCTTTCACCACCACACCGTGCGGGTTCTTCGTTTCACCTGTTTCTCAGCTAGTTCTATCGATCACTACCATCAGCAATCACCTGTCAACGGGGTTGATCTGGGGAGCCCAAATCGGCATTGAACCCAGTTAAGCTGAGACTATAGTTGAAATTCACAACAATGTTCACTTTTTATTTACTGCCTTTTACAAGTTTTCACGGCGGGGTATTATTTGTGAAACAACTACAGTGATGCGGAGATGTTTGCAAAACTCCGAACCGCGGACCTGCTGGTGGCAGTGATAGGTGGAACTAGCTGAGAGACGGGTGAAACGATGGACCCGCATGGTGTAATGGTGAACGCGTTACTCCCGGAAAGGACAGTAGTGCTTTCGTTCCCCACCGCAGGCACCTGTGGTCCGGAGTTTTGCAAATATCTCAGCATCACTGTAGTTGTTTCACAAATAATACCCTGCCGTGAAAACTTGTAAAAGGTAGTAAATGTGAACATTGTGGTTATATTCCATATAATACTCTGCCGTTAAAAAATAATAGGCAGTAAATAAAAACTGCTACAAACTGCGTTGTTTTGCAAACCTGGTTAGGCAAGTAGTTTTGCTTGTTTAACTAAGGAAGTTATTTAACGCCAGCAAGTCGTATTCATTTCAGACGTTACCAGTGAAACTTCCCTTGTAAAATTCACTATTTCAAGATGCATTGGAAGGTATTCGCTTGCGTTTATCGGTGACAATGGGGGTGTCGGGAGCCATGATCTACTTGTTTTTTTACAAGGGCCATCTTTCACATCTTTTTTTTTGACCGCACGACTTCTCGCATTCGATTTGTTTCCTCGCATCCGCAATCCTCGAAAGTCTGCCAACTTCTTTTTGCTCTTGACTTCGGCCGCTGCTTGTGGATTTTCCTTTCGTTATGAATGTCTGTGAATGCTGGTAAAGTCGATTCTGCCTGAAGGCCTGAGATAGCTGAGTCAAAGCGTTCCCACTCTGATTTCAGAGAATTGGCTTTTCTCAGACAAGTCTGGCACCGACTTTACGACGCCAAAGGGATGAGAAGCTTAGTGAGTTCCACCTGGTGTCAAATCAGAACCTTACCCGTGGTGATCAACATCTTTACCACTGCACTATTTGCCCTATTATATCTGTTTTATAAATGGAAAAGTTGTGAGAGCATGAAAATGATTATAACCTTTGCTTAGTTATCCTTCGAACGTTCATTAGTTGGTTTGCTGTTGTTTGTTACTGAAATATGTTATTTGTTGTTCAACACAACGGCATGTTTCGGCATGTTTCTACTTTGAAAACAAGATTTCGGAAATTTTCACCTTGGAAAGTGATAGTGTTGGTGATGAATTGAGACCATATGGCTCCTACTAGTTACCGTGCTGATCAGTAACCGTTAAATTAGCGTTGTATCGGAAGAATAACCACATAGATCATTCGATATTTTGTTCAGTACTTGTTATTCAGTCTTTGAACGGCGAGCTTTTGATTTTTACTCCGAGGGTTAGTTTATTGAGTTTGCCACATTTACCTATTGAATCAGAGAATTTTTACCACGCTGTGCTAGAAGGAGAGTGCGGCTTTGTTTCCTTCCGTTGACCATGGCATACAAATTCCCTTATTAGAGTTTTCCTTTCTACTAACTTTTTTGTGGTGTGTTAGTTACGATCGTTCTTTATTTTTCAGCGACTTCTACTATGGGTGCAGTGTCGGGTTGGATGAGTAGCATATGGTTCTTGATTCTGTTCGTTCTAATCGGAGTTTGTGTCGCTAGTAGCTCCCTCATCTTCTCATTAGTGTATCGTCGTTGCTGGCAAAGCAGAGATAAGATCAAGTCCCAGGTGAGCCCAGAGTGTAGACTCGGCCTGATGTCATGGTACAATTTTGCTGTGCGTACGCCGAAACAGTGGTACCGCACCTGGCATTCTTTAGAATTACATGCGAGGACCCATCGCATGATGATTTGTTATTGGTTTTCAGTGGTAATCGGAGTGTATTTATTGTTTATTTAGTTTCAGTTCCCTATTTATCTACGTTTTATAGACTGTCACAATCCCGCAGCAGAGTGAGACTTGTGCTTTGCTGAACTGCCCTGCTACTCGACCAACATTTGAAATCACCGACATGAAAGTGTGTGTCCAGTGCTGCTCTAATTTTCAATTTGTTTCTAACGCATCATATACAGGAGACCATTTAAAATGTGTTGTTAGCCCCATATACATGTCAAAGCCAAGTGTTTACGTATGTTGAAACCGTGAAGTATACGGACGTTGTGTAGATTCATAAAGAAGATTGCACATAAGAGGAACTTTAAGTACATTAAGGATCGCTTGTCATGTTACTAATTTGATACATAAGCTCAAAAACCAACATTCCTTTAACCTCGGTATCACTAATCAGCTTGTACTGTCTCGGTGATATACTAAGATGAGGTTGATAAAGAACTTTAAACCCAATGAACTCAACCAAAACCCTTTAATTTAAACAAACGATAGACCCAATCTTTAGCAGGGTTTTAGAAACGTAATATCATCAGAGCGAAACCTCCATTTGGAAGAATTGGATATTTGAATATTATAAAAAGGATAACACTCTCTGCTTTGATTAATCCATGAGGGACGCGCCATGCATTCTTCACTAAGCATCGTTGGAGTTGATAGAATGGCTATCTGACCTTTACAATGACTCGTAGTGGCCTACCGATGTGTCGAGTCAGGGCTGCTCTCCTCCCAAACAAATTTGCTACCAATTTACCGACCCCGGAGAGATGGAGGACTTGGCGAGCTTGGGGCGCGGGGATCGGTCCCATATATTGCGATGCACCTCCGACAACTACGCTATGCGTGCCCGCTTTGACTATTATACATATTTGTATGTGGCTTTATGCATATTTGTATTTATATTTGGCGTTCATTGGTGTTGTATCTGAATGGTCAGTAGATGTGATGAGCAATGCTTTGCTTTAGCATTTGGCTAGCGGTCGTTTTGGTGATGTGTTCAGTGCCATGTATCGAAGTGCTGATTGTGTTGGAGAAGTGGCAGTGAAGGTCCTGAAAGACGAAGAAAGTTGGCATTCGGAACAGGTTTGCTTTCGTTCTAGAAACCGTGTCACCTCTTTGTGACTAGTGAGGTTGCCTCTACTCGATAAAAAAAAATTCTTTGTAATTTCGTTCGTACAATATTTGAGTAATAGCTTCCTCCGGTGACATATTTAACGATCTCTGTCTGATTTTTTCCGTTCTCCTACCCTTTGTTTTATTTATTTATTTATTTATTTATTTTGTTAAACGATTATTCGTTTTATAGCTCAGTGTTTAGACCATTTATATCGATGTGCTACGTCGAGCAGGTCATCCAAACATCCTCCGCTATGTGGATGTGGAACGACGAAACAATGAATATTGGTTAATTACCGAATTCATGAATCAAGGAAATTTGCATGAATATCTTAAGGTAAGTTTGGCAGCTAATCTTCATTTCCGTTTTACTACTGTCGTTATTATTCTTCCATTCCTTAATCGAAGTTTTGTTTTTATTTCCCATTCTCATAACTCCTCATTGCATTTTTACAAAAGGTGTGCATTTTCTGTCGTGTGATATTGTCATAATCAAATGTGATTTGGAGTTTTCAACAACTAAATGCTCTTTTTCTGTTCTATTTTTTCTAAAAGGGTGCGTGTAGCCCGGTGGCTATAGGTGCCCTGTAGTACGTAATAGAGGTGTAGAGGTGTAAGACACATGAGATCAATCTCGCGCCCCAAACCCACCAAGCTTTTCATCTCTCCAGGGTCGGCAAATTGGTGCCAGCCTTGTCTAGGAGGATAGCAGCACTGCCTGGAAACATCGGTAGGACATCGCCAGTCATTGCGTAGACTAGATATGCATTCACTTAATTCTAACGGTGTTTGATGAAGTCGAATGCATGGCGCGTCCCGCAGGGATTGGTCAACGTCGAGAACTTTATCCTTTATTTTGCTATTTCTAGAGCTTTCTGGCTGATTTTCTTTTAAAGTATTCTAACATATTGTAGTTCTATATTCCATATTTGTTAAGAAAATTTAACAGAAATTTATCGACGTTGTTACAGAATCCCGTAAAAAGCCTTGGATATGTGTTGTAGTTTAGGAATTCTATTTGTTATTACAAACATTGGTGTTTAGACGTGAGATTGTTGTGAATCAGACACGTTTTCCAGAATTCAAATTCGTCAGTTCTAAACTTAAATTTTCTTTATTGCCGTGTTGGCGATTCCGGCAAGCCGACATGATCTGTGCCACTTCCTTTTTTTTACAGTCGTACACAGCAATAGTCTTTTTTGTGCGTGGCGATTTTTTTCATGTTTAGAGCACAATTCTAAATGTAGATTCTTTTTCGACGTATTTTCTGACCGTTTGAGAAAAGGTGCTAACTCTTTGCGGGCAAGGAGAGGAAATTACTTCACTTATCCGATTACAACAAATTGGTGAAGATAAATACGTCTTTCCATCTTGCAGTAATTTGTTATCTCTGTCCCTGTCTTCGTTATATATGTAATATAGGTTTTTTGTGATCGGACAGCCACCTCTCTCCATTTTTGACACAACTGTACCCTCTTTTGTGTTCCTTTTATAAAACTGTGGTGCGATTATGGGCTTTGTGTCGTCTGACGATGCAAGTGAATTGTAGTTGGACACTGATTTTTCTCTGATAGGGAGTTACAAGCCGGACAGTTTCACGGGAATCACAAAATTTTTTATGGATAGGTGCAGGACAAAGGCAGTGCCAACAACACAACGCGATGTTATCTTTCCAGCTAATGTGACAGGTCTTAAATCGTTTATTTATCGGCTGGTTTAATAGCTTCTACGTTGCTAGTTTCTTAGTGAACAGTCATATTTGATATAGCATTAGAGTCGGAAGCATCTAAAGCACATGGAAAGTCATCCATGGCGTATCGTGGGAACGGTTCCCGTTCGTATGTAGTGGAATCTTCAGCTTAAGCATACTGAGTGCTGCTCGGATGGTTTTCCCTGGATTCCAGAGATAGCCGTGCCAAGGCGTTCTTGGATCTGCACCACGTGGAATGATCGGATTAGAGAAAGGCTTTTTGTCTTCTGACCACACTTTTTAGACGTAGCGCTGAATCCTGTAACTAGTAAGCGACAACTGTAGAGCGGCGTTACTAGCCGAATCGAAATTCTCTGCATATTCAGCTGCTCTTCTCCCAACACCGCCATTAATTCTTTTGGACTTCGAACAATAGATACTGTTTCCTCAACTCCACCGGTTGTTTCCTCTTCCACATATCGAAACCACAACAGCTGCGTCCTTAAACTGTAGTAGATCATTACTGTAGTGGTATATTCTTTAGTAAATAGGTTTGATTATTCGTGTGATCTTTGTCTTTCATCCTCTATTTTTCTATATTTCAGAAGCACGTGTTAACGTTAAAGCAATGTCTACGTATAATGTCTGGCATGCTCGAAGGTTTGGCGTTCCTTCATGAACCCCAAGGCAATAAGTTCACGGTTGTGCATAGGTAAGAAATCTTCATTGGCAAAAAGTTTCTTTAATACCGTGATTTACTACATTTCTTTTCTGCCTAGCGAGTAGGTTTCGTTTTGATTACGTTGTTTATTAATTCTTAAATGCGAGACATTCATCTTAGATCAGGATAGCAGAGAGGGTTTGAGGTCTAGTCGTCCGACGGAATACCGGGGAGGGGGTCATCACTCGGCAGTACTCTATTTCTTGTCCTGCATTTTTCCACTACGTGGTCATCCATCTTCATTGACTTACATAGATACTTGGACGACCCGTTCTATTTTTTGAAATTTTGCTGGTTTACCATTGTAGCTCACTTGAGTCCCAAGGACAGCATGGCCAAAGTCTACCTCCGGTAGTCACCACCACAAGCAGTCACCGCCCTTGTGGATCAGAGGGAAATTTACCACCATGCGACTAGTTTGATATCAGGGCGGTGGTGGATCCTGGTATTGGTTTACTCTCAGCTGGGCTTTCTGGTGGAAACGCCGAACTCCTCAGCTTGGGAGACATTGCCAGAGGGATGAACGCTCCCGGTGTACATCGCAACTTAACACCCAGGAACACTTCCTAGCCTCGATGAGGCGGCAAAGCGTTGGGAGGCCTTATCAAACATCCCGCATATATGCTAAATGTCTTCGGATGGCCACGATTCTCCATTTGTTATTTCTTATATTAATGCATGAAATCAGCAGATGATATAACATATCGATTTTTCGTTCACAATTTTTTCTTTTTAACAGTTACTAGCTTCCTCTGGGACTAACCGAATTTGTTTCTTTGCGATAGGAAGTATTCTTAGTCGGCAAAACAAGTATCTTTGAGAAACTTTCCATCTGATGTTGCATTTTTAAACTGGAGTACTTCGTTGTCCTTCGATGATCCCATTGATCCGGTCTTTATCCGCCAAACTGTCTCCTTGTCGAATCAGTTCATTTTTTTGGGCTTCATTTAAGGTTTCCTCTGTGCTTATGAGGACAAATTTTTCGGATGTTTGAACATAATTCGGCAAGTGAATGGCGAGTGGTTCCAAGGGTAATGCCACTCGCTCTAATTTGTTGAAGAGGTTGTACGCATCCTCTTCTATGTATCAGGATTTTTTTTCTGTTAATGGTATTCATGTTTTATACAGAATATTAGGATTCCGTCTTTGAGAAGGAATTTGGGAAGAATGTGGGTACTGATTTGTAAAGTTCTTTGGAGAGTCCGAAGTAGGCAAGAACTCTGCGAACCCGTTGTTTTCTTATGATTCCCAACATCGTCTCTGCTCAGAATCATTATAACTAGTGCGTTAATATAAATGGTCGCTATGTTAGATCACTTTTTCCGCCTAATCGACGACTAAGGTGGAAGTTGTGTGCGGAGCTAGCACGTGGTCCAAGTTTAGGTTAAGGCCGTGCTTAGGAATGACTTATTCAAAATATTATTTGCACAGTGTGAACGGTAATGACACTCTTTTGTTGAAGACGAAATCTTTCGAAACGTAAGCCATCGTGAGATAGGTACTGTCTTTACGCCATCGTGTTGTGTGCCAAGAACATGTTAACCTAATTATCCGTACTAAGGACAATATAGAGGTATAGTTCCTAGAAGATACATAGTAAAATTACTACTGAAACTTCTCTATCCCATTGTTCCGCCAGTTACTACAAAAAACTTCTAGCTGTCGATTCTTTTTTGTAGTCAGTAACTGTTTAATTTAACAAAATTATTTGCCGATTCTTGAGATGGAGGGGGTGAAACCCGCTTCACGGTGTTCTGAAGTTGATATTGAATTTGTGACTTGTGTTTATCTTTGTGTAAGGTTGACATCCTAGGAAATTTTGTATTTCCACATTGAATAATGCACATTTTCCCTGCTAATATGATGGACTCTTAGAAAATCTTATAAACTGTTTTATTCATTGTTTTTTGGATTACAATAATTTTTTACTCCTTACTAATATAAAGGTGGACATTGTGATGTTTGGAAATTGCGTTATTGTATATTTTTAGGGACATCAAGTCAAAGAATATTCTTTTAAAGTCAATAGAAACTAGTGAGAATGGGAAAGAATTGACATTAACGGCTTGCATTGCCGACTTTGGCTTGGCTGCCGTGTTCAGCAGCCCACAGATTGATGACCAAGTGACGGGACAGGTACGAGATTCATGAAGGGAAATTCAGTTCAGTTGCTCCTTTGTTTGTAACTTACCTTGCGCATTTAACATTCCATAAACGGTGGGTTATTTTTAAAACGACGTTTGAATTATTGGATGAGATACTTTATAGGTAAGATCACTCCCGAGCATGTGTTGGAGAATTGACAAATTATGGAATATCCTGTTCTCCATGTTTATTAATCAGAGATTTTGGTACAGAAGGTTGACCGTGGTACTTTAGAAGAGTAACCATTTAGTCTGGAGCAATGACAGAAGTTTTCAGATATTATTTAAGGTGTATCTATCGTAATTATTTAGGTTGGAACCTTCCGGTACATGTCACCCGAAGTTCTTGAGGGTGCTACGGAGTTCACAATTCCCGCTTTCCAACGAATCGATGTGTATGCAATGGCATTGGTGTGTTTATCCGTTTCTAGAAAGAGTAGAATGGCATTAAACATGTGTATCATATGAATGAGCAGGTGTCGAGAGAATCGCTTTATATTTTATTTGCATTTTGATGTTAATGCGTGTAATGTGCAAAGGAATAAGATGGAAGACGGGGGAGAAGAAGCTAAAGTGGACAAAAATGCATCGCATTAAATATAATAGCTAGTAGAGATGAGGGAGATTATAATATTTATGGTGTACGGATGGACCCGGATGGTGTAGTGGTGAAGTGCGCTGCTCCCCGGTAAGGACAACAGCGCGTGTTCGTTCCCCACTGCATACACCTGTGGTCCGGAGTTTTGCAAATATCTCAGCACTTCATACGAGTTATATTTCACAACATACTCTGCCATTAAGAAGAAAAAGGCAGTAAATAAAAGAGTTAAGATTATAATACTTATGTTTATATTACCGCGTTGTTTCATCTGGTTTACATTTAATTGCTGTAAGATTTAGGTAATGTGGGAGGTAATTTCTCGTAGTAGTCTTGACAGTTACGATGTCGACATACCTGACTATAAGCAACCATTTGAAGACATGACTAGTCCGTATCCAAGTCTAGGCGAGATGCGTGACGTCGTTGTGAATCGGAAGCGGAGACCTGAATTCCGTTCAGCGATCACCGTGCATCCGGTAGGTAGTTCATTCGTGCCGTCACTGTTCGATTTCCTTTCCATCTGTTTCATCTTCCAGTTGGTTACCACCATCCTTTCCTACCCATAGCACTTTTTTCCGAGCAGATCACACAATCACGTAAAAAAGTTCCCGAATGCTAAGACGTTGTTAAGTGAGCGTTGTGGCTTCTTCCGATTTGCATAGTTTAGTTTTGTACTACGTGATATCTAGACTGAACTAAAATATATGTCCTCTCGAATGTCTGGTTTAAATCACAGTGTACAACTTTTGTCTACTGCCCATTATTTTTTCACGGCAAGGTACGTTAGCCCTCGGAAAGGGTAATCGTGGTTCGATTTCGCCTGGGGTCCGAGTTTTGCAAATACCTCAGCATCACAGTGGCTGTGGTTCACATCATACCCTGTCGTAGAAAAAGCAATGGGCAACATATAAAATTCATAAACTTTTATTTCAACTACAGCCTCCGCTTAACTGGGTCTAATGCCGATTTTTGCTCCCCAGAATTCCCGTTGACGGATGATTGCTGATGGAACCGTTGGGGTATAAGGGACTGGTTGAGGGAAAGGCAGAACAAGGGCCTCAGTGGTGCCGTGCGTAACACATAAACCATCACAAAGGGTAATTTCGGTTTGATGTAGCATGGTATCAAAGTTTTGCAAATATCTCAGCACCACTGTGACTCTGTGGTTTGTTTTAAGCCTTTTCCTTCGCAAGATCTTGGGTTTAAGTAATGTCATCGGAATTATTCTATAATATCATACTGTTTTATGTGGGTGGCGAAATCGAGTTCACCATTCGAGATATGTGGCATACAATAGCAGATGGACGCATTACGGCAAGTCGAGCACGCGAAAGAATCAACGCGATGAATGGCTACGATTCACAAAGTTCTGAAGGATATCATTCAAGCGACGGTTGGTGGTTCACTGAAAGAGTGTTCCTAAATTTTACCGGTGGAAGTCATTATGACAGATGTGATGTAAACCGGAGACACCATATCTAGTGGGATTCGTTGCTCTTATTATTTGAGAACCTACTTAACATTATTATATTAAATGTAAAGACGCTAAAACGTTGAAACCGTACGCTGAAAAAAAGAAAAGTTGTTTCAGAACACAATCAGAAGATGTTAGAACCATCCGTTAATGTCGAAGGAGATTGTAGAGCTACAGATGGTAGTTTGGTCAACAACAGTTTGAGCAATGTTATGGAGAAGTTAAGTCCTTTACGGGATACTGTCGACCAGGAACGATAACAAATCCATTCTAGATCGATTAGGGTGCTAGGTAGCAAAACGCGACCATAATTCTATTCAAAATCCGTTGATGTTAATGGTAAAAGAGTGGAGGATTGGTAAGGATAATCTATGTATATAGTGAGAACTAAATAACTTCGTAGAATGATAATCTCCAGTGATTATTTAGTTCTTTATCTAGTCCTAAACTGCAGTGGAAGAATCACAATAACCAACAGTCATGCTTATGAGTTCAATTCGAATGTGAACTCTTCTACCGATAAGAACTTACAAATCTGGGGCATAATCGATCTAGAACGGATTTGTCATCAGTATAAACGATTTCATACTTTGCGGGATTCTAGTTAACTAGTGAATTCTCTAAATTCATTCTTTCTATTGACCTCCTCTTTTGATTTCTTCTAAAACAATCTTGTCGTTTTTCAAATTTCGTTGCGGATTAACTGAATTAATTAACTTGCATCGTACAGATTCCAATATTAGTGTAAAGGAGACGTGGATAACCACTCCATATGATATTTTATGAGTTACATAACTGTTTTCATAAAATATGAGAGATTAACGTGGTCACGGCATGCGGGTTGTTCATAATTAACTTTATCATTGTGTGTAGCTTGACTTCTTTGAGAAGATACCAGTTCTGTCCACGACAGAAATGTTCGGTTCAAAATAGGCCCTCGCGTGAACATTTCGTTAGAACGCTTGAGTTTGATAGTACAGTTCACCTTCTTTATTGTCACAACTTTCTTGCTTTGTTTTTTTTGTTTACTGGTTCTGTTTTTTTTTTTTGGTGCAACCAGCTATTATCCTGATGTGATCGAACTCATCGCCAAAGGCAGTGTATTAATTTTTAACCGGATTCACAATGTAATGTAAATGACCAGAAAATGAACATGCAGCTTCTTGTCTTCGTAATATCTGTTCTTACAAAGCGTTTATAAAGCCCAAGCAGTCGACAAACACCCCACTACGAAAGCAAATCTATTGAGCGGTTGTTTCACCTGGTAGAATATATTCGCCTCCAGTCGTAAAGTTTGTCAATTCAACATTGATATTGTCAAAGGGCATAATCGAGTCCTAATTTATTATGACAACTTAAGAAGTGTTGTTATGTTTATTGTTATGCAGAGATGAAGAGGGAAATAAACAACGTTCTATAACGTCTTTGTTTAACAGTTTATAAAGACATCTCAAACATGATTAGAATACGTATGAATCGTCGCAAATCATAAGAAAATAATGCATAACTGGATATATACTTAGGTAGATAGTCAAGTTGCCTACTACAAGATGATACCTGCGATATGTACTTTTGTCAAAAAACACTTTGAAAAACGTAGAAGTAGCAGTGTCTATAATCTGGATACCGGATAGATAAAGTTATAATATTGTGCCAAACGACCAATATGAACTCTAACGTTTTGTGATAGTTCCATGAATACAGAAGTTATCTAGAATCGGAAAGCAAGATCCACGAAAGTCACAATGCAGGAGTATGTTTCTCCATCGCAATTATGGCAGATGCGAGCTGTTGTCGTAGCTTTCCAAACATGTCATAGTCAAATTCAAGTTGTTCACCATTCAGCTCAAGTTCGGTTATCACCTCAAGACTCTTTTTTACATGACTATTTCCTACAACTACACAAACATTCCAATTAAATGGCTTCTCAGGCGGTTGAATTTCACCGAGTCGGCTTTGAACGAATGCAAGCAGTCCGGTTTTCAACTGCAAAAGTACTTCCAGAATATTTAACGAAGAGGTTGGAAGAAAACAGGACGAAAGTACATTTCACTTTCTTTTTTGGGGTAGGAGAACTGCATCTATCTTTCATAATGAACTGCTTCGTGAGCTCAGTGATCTCATGCACCATCACTTCAGGACTATCGTCCTGTATTCTTTAGGTAACATGATAGCGGAGTTTTCCAGAACCAATCCTAACAGCTTTATATTAAAGCAGTTTGATGCAGTAGTGGATATTACAGCTGAGACAATTTTAATTACAAAAAATGAATAACCTTTGTAAACCAAAGGTTAATTTTATTAAAATTCTAATGGCCGCGTTATACAGACGTAACGATGTACTCTATAGTCTCTATGTTACGCTTCATAGTGTTAGGAGTAGTACTTCACCAAACTTTAGAAATAAACTGCTAACCAATCGTTCCTCATTTCAAACATTTAAAGTTCGCCCTTCTAAAAGTCTTCGATACCCAGCATAAACATTTGCTAGTTGCGGCTCTACATCGATATCTACTCTCTTTTAGCACCTAATCAGTTCATCATGTCGAATCAGGCATCATACCATTACCAATGCATGAAAACTTTGGTAATTAACGTTCACCACTAACCTCAAAAGGCAGATTCGCACTTGAAATAGGTGACGTGCTGTTGTTTCGAAAGCAATTCATAAACAATTCTGAAAGTTCAGCAACGGCAGCAATGTCCAGTGTTGATGACGAGAGTTGTCTCTTGCTAACGACTGAGCACCAAATATCTAAAAATCACTTGCAAAGATGCCACAAGCTATAATGCTATATATTTGTCATTTTCATAGTTTAGATGAGTAGGGAGTTAGTCATCCCAGGATGTATGGTCGAAGCAACGACAAATTGCGTTGTAAGACACCTCTAACCAATGCACTACACACTCTATAGATACACCATATATTATTGATATACATATATACATATAATAGTTGATATATATGTATATCAGCCAGATCGAAAGTGTGTTAGGACCCAAGTGACACTTCATGAATATGGCTGCACAACTATTACTTTTCTTTACTGTACCTTTTAAGGAAATGCTTCTGAGCACATGCTATTTAAGATCGTTCAAAGTTCAAATAGAGAAAACAAAAAGGACTATGAAAATGAATGAACAAGTCTTGAAAACCACTCTTTAGCTCATCTTCAGACGGCATGAATGCGACGCTCGACGTTTTCGTCGACATCTGCTCTGGAAGCGTAAACTGAGTAGATGATAAAGTAGAAAAAAAGTAAACAAGAAAGGAGATGAATATTGCGATGTAAATTTTTAACATATTCAATTTGAAGGCGTAAGACCTCGGTCCACAGAAATCCCTCACATGAGGGACCTGGAGCCTGTTAGTCGCCACGCAAGATGGCGTGTCCCCTGCTCGTGGATCAAAAGCGACCTTTGTTCCCTGAGATGCAGATGGATACATGAGATGGACTCCGTGTTTCCGCTGCGCCAATTTGGCACATACTTTCTGCATTTACGAGGCGTATTCATGCATGCGTGTATAGGTGCGTTCTCGTTTAAGCGGATTGTATTCTACGGGTCAATTCGGCCGAAAGCCTGCAATCAAGTGACTGGAAAGTATGTGGGAGGCAGTTAGGAGTCGCCTCCAACAAATAAGCTCAATGTCCAACCTGGGAGAACCTGGCAAACTACCCGTGAGTATACCTAGCTCCCACCTTCAGAGCCCAGCAAACTGGTTGTGGGCATCAAAAGCTAAACACAGTGAAAAAAACGGACCTCATTCCTCTAACCCCGAAGGAGCCCCCCAATTTCACACCGTTGGGTAGGACGAGTACGGAGAGGCTACTAAAATTGTAGGGCCATTCTAAGCTGCCTAAACCGCAAAGGAATAAGGTGACGATCTGTACCTACATGTCCAAGATTAATACCACTGCCATAGCCTCTACCTTTTCTCTGAAACTCTCAAAAAGTACAAAGTTAAATTCCCTTAACAGGATAGCGGTTTCGGGACGGAAGCGGTCTCACCTTGTCACCCGCACCTGTCGATGGAACGCAGTACTTCTCCGTCAGTTCCCCAGTCTGGAAACAACTCTAAACAAGGATTCACACTTAACCAGAAAAAAAGTAAGGATAAGGCGAACCTATTATTACTCTACTTAAAGAGCAGTAAATGGTAGACAACATTCTTGAGAATGTAGGAACCAAAAGATATTTGCGGTCTATAGTATATCCAAAACCTGTATTAGATCTCTACATTGACGTCCCCTTCGGAACTTCCAAACCACGAAGTGTAGTAAAGGAGCAACTCTTCACCACATTTCACTGATCTGCAGCATGGCATAAACAATTAGAAGGGAAAACTCGTGTGTAGATGGTTTGCTGCTCTTTTCTTTTTTGCATGATAAGCCGCCGGTCATGACTTTACTACTGATTCGACACGTAAATAGGAGCCAAGTCAACCACGAAATACTTCCCACAGTGATAATTCCCTACATTCATTGTCTTCAATAAAACATAGGGCATTGCTAGATACAGCGATAATGGACCAACAACGTCAGAACTACATCTGGACGATAAAGAAAAATGGATGGTTTTCCCTTATTTCCGATAAAAACTGATGGAATCTGTAGCGTAGTTCTAGATGGTTTTTTCCAGTCCTCGTAAAAACTCCTGGGATTTACAGGGTAGTTCGATGAACCGTACCCTAATGCGAATTCGTCAGCTAAGTCATAAGCAGCACATGATCCCTGTGGCGTAAACGATTTCACTTTTCAGGTGTTACGGAAGCAATAACCAAAATATAAGATGTTGCAACTATTCTAAAACGAGTAAATAGACAGCACAGCGTAGCCGAAAAAGCAGAAAACACTGTGTACGATTAAGTATCTGGCATAAATCCCTAGCACGTTTACAGAACTTCTTCCATAATCTTTACTGTTACATGAACAATGTGGTTACAGCAAACAACAAACAGTTACATTAACTTGAAAACATAAGTAATAAAATGTTCTACCCAACTTATAAATCAAATTTATCTCGACAATGAAAAGGGAAGTTTAGTGCTTGAAATATGATTAAAAGGCTAATTCGCGAAAGAATACATTACATCTTACATGTAAAGAATTTCTCTACCAAGTAGATAATTCTCCATCTACCCAGCAAGTATTTTCTACAATTGCGCTTTACTAAAGGAACTCTTTCTGGGGACACGACCGAGGACATGCACTGGCGGCACCATAACTACATCACCAGGGAGCCCTCAAACGTGCAGTGCTCCTGTCATGAGATATCCAGATTGGGATGGGATTATTCTCAATCCTGACTACAACATTCTTTTTGGGATTAATCCACTTTGAAGCAGGGCAAATAAGTCTGAGCATCCAAGAAGGAATTGTGGATAGATGGTGTACTTGTCTGCACTAATGGACAAGTTAATTTTGTTGAGATGGATGAATTGCTCATCTTCAAGCCTTAGCAAGATTTCAATGTATCTAAATCTTTTGATTCTGGTTGCGGTGATTTCATGCTCCTTTCCATAAGCATCACACAGCTTCAGTATAGTGAGACCATATTTGATTTTGATTGGCTCTGAGTTACTGAATATGTGGATGGTTAGCTTCGTGGAATGGGCACTTTGTGATTGAGGTCACGTTTATCACCAACGAATGATCTGATCCGGTATTGAGTATCACCTTTACTTGTTTATGTGTCTCCATACTGTGGTTGAATACGTCTACTTACCCTGCTAGAATCTGAGTATTGGATGTGTATTCCCATTCTAAGTAAAGAGGATGAGTATGAAGGACAAAAGTTCTTTCACTCTGCGTTATATCGGAAACTATTGCATTGACTCTCGACGCAGTTTTTCCTATGATTAAGTGTTCAACGGCCTTGTAGAGGGTTTGGGTTTGTCTTCTTGGATAGGATGTAGTCAATAAGGTTGGATTAGAGTGGATGTACACTGGGTTTTGCAGAATGATGAATGATGAGGCAAAAATAATCGATGTATTTATATGTATGTCCTTACGAACTGCCCTTGTTGAACTGATGCGAGGTTGGTACAACTTGTCAGTGTTGTTGTTGTTGCTTGATGGCTGACATTTCGGCCATTTCGCCTTCTCAGAACCGTGCTGTTGCGACTGGGACAACCTCGCGTCAACTCAACAAGGGCAGTTCGTGAGGACAAATAAATGATATCCCATCATTGGAAAAAAAAGAGTACGTAAAGAGACAATGCAATGGCTTCCAATAAAACGCAAAGTGAATGCATTGTCCTCCATCATTCTATTAAGGAACAAACATCCAATACTCAAAATCTCGCAGGGCATGTAGATGTATTCAACGCCAATATGGAAACATATGAAGAAGTAGAAGTGATACTCGATGCCGAATGAGACCGTTAGTTTATCAACAACGAATTAGCAGAAAGAGTTCAATTGCAAAGTGCCGACACAACAAAACTAACCATCAATACATTCGGTACCTCAGAGCAAATCAAAACGACATATGGTCTCATATATACTAAAGTCGTGTGATGCCTATGGAAAAAGACATGAAATCACAACCTGAATCGAAACAATCACGAAGGCATTGATACGTTTCCGTCTAGGCCTAGAGTATACGCGATTTCTCCATCTCAACAAAATTAACACGAACGCCATCTATCTATAGATCCTTTATGTATGTTCAGATTTTACTTGACAGCGGATTACCCCAACAAGAACGCTGTTATTAGGATTGAAAATAATTTCATCCAAATTCAGATATCTTATGACAGGAGCATTGCACGTTTGAGGGAAACCTGGTGATATAGTTGGTGCCTCCAAGACAATCTCCTCGATCGTATCGCCAAAAAGAGTTCCTTTATTAATTACACAGAATATTTGTTAAGTAGATAGAGAATTATCCATTTGATGGAAAAATCCTCTATATTACAATTAACATCTTTTTTTATCGACAGTTTACGTACCTGAACCAACTATGGACTATAGTCTATCGGCAGACCCACCACAAAAACAACGGTTCTCCGCACATCGTAGTTAAATGTACAGCAATTACTATTCGCTATCTCAGCAAACTTATAGAAAGAATGTATAAGACTAGTAGTGCACAATAAAGAGATCAAAGAATACCGGTAATTTTACCACATTAAACACCAATGCTATCGAAAGGAATTAGTTAACGTTTCTTTTAGGCAAACCCTATCAATTTCTCTATGAGCAATCGTGAACAATTAGAAAACCTAAATAGACCAGATCAATGTTCACTCGTGGTCATCGTCAAAAATAACTAATATCCATCTTTGGTCATTTTGTCCAGCAATGATATTGCTACGGACAATTCAAATGAATGCATGAATCTCTCGCAACAAACAGAACCCTTCTTGGTGCACTGACAATAAGTAGCAAATTGTTTCAAACAACTAGAATTCTTCATACAGTCCAATGGATCAGAGTGATGACAGCATACATAACAAGTGGCCATCAAACCTTTACTCCGATCCACGACAACCATTTGAAGCAAGCAACGTAGCCGTGGCATGTTAAGCCTAGCGTCGGCTCCGAGTACGATCTGTAAAGCTTTTGATATGAGTGCTCGATCACTAAAAGAAAAACTGTTGGTACTTGCGAAAGTGATAGAGCTAATTGATTCCGTTGTTTCCCAATATTCTCCCATACTGTTGGCTGTTGTGGTGCATCAATCTCATGGGTTTGATACAGCATCCGTGTATCAGTGAAACTGTGTCTTTTCAATTAAAAGGTTCTTGAACATCTTAAATTATTGTGGAAAGGTTAGAAAGAACGAAAAACAATATGCTCCATAAAAACATAGTGAAATCTGATATCAATTCCGTAATTACTTCTCAGATCATTGAATGTAACAGCACAGAAATAATAGAGGATGATTACAGGGAACAAATCTGATACCTCTTGCCGCAATTTGTTAAAAAAAAAGAACAAATTTTAAAAACGTTCCCACTTGTTCTTGTTCAATCATTTCTTCCTTCGTAAACAAATTGGACAGATGGCCAATCTCCTCCTTTACATCCATGAGACGTCGACAAAGAAACGCATACACTAGGTGTACGTTGGAAGCATTGATTGAGTTGTGATTAATCGAGATGGTATCTTCCTAAAATGAAGTGTGATTGGTCCGAAAAAGTTTGAAATCTTACGCATTAGCGAAGTAATTTCTGCTCAACTTTCTTCTTTCTCTTGAAACTCTTACCAGGTTATGAACTTGGTGATACCAATTTGCCGGTACGAAGACGATCTCACCTGGTTTTTGAACCAACACCGCAAGATTTGCCTTAACAATGTTTGGCTATTAGTGTATCAATGTGTGTTCTCATGTTCTTAAAAGCAATAACCTGAGGAAACTACATATCTAAAACTATTGACATATTAGCCCACTTTAAGCCAAACATTAGAAAACATATATTCTACGGAAAGCCTCCCCTATCCATTTTTCTTTGCTCCGAACTTTCTCTAGTTTCCTCGATCAGTATCCTGCCATGTTGTTCTGCACCTTTCTTATACCTACCTCCTGATTTAACTATTGTCACAATTCTAACAGAATTAAACATCTTAGGCTACAAAGCAGTATATTTCTAAATATTTTGATGCACATATTTTCAGGGATTCTTTAGCAAACAGTTGTTAACACAAGGTTTACCTCACAGCTCAATACGTTAAATTGCTTACTTCAGGCCATAAATCCTTATACGGTCTAATGTCCTTAACAAGATCGCCATCCTTAATAAAAACATTTTCATTCCCAGCTGGGACAAGGTACCATAACTTGCGTCCACAAATGTTTGCCGACCAGCTATGAGATGACATCACATCGGAGTGGAATCTTGTCCTGAATCTATTTCTTACTCTTGAAACGGAGTTTATTACTTCCTAGCCCTCTAGATAAATAGTAAAGAGATGTGCCAGATAAAAATTAACCAATTTCGATAAAGTGTTAAGCACATTAAAGCTAACGGACATAAATAAATAAGAGACAAAAATAGCGGATATCATCAAATTGCCAGCAGCACAAATACGGACAAGAATAAAACTTGAATACTTGGATAGTTGGGCGGCCCATCCTCACTGGTTATGCGGGCCCCAGTACAATCTCCATTTCTCAGAGTTTTGCTGGTTTAGCCATTGTGGTTCCCTGGAATCCCCAGGTCAGCTTGGCCAAAGTCTCCCTCAGGTTGTCACCACTACAGGTATAGCCGCCCTTGTGGATTAGAGGTAGATTTGCCACCATGCGACTAGTTTGATACCAGGGCGGTGGTGGATCCTGGTTCACTCTTAGCTAGGCTTCCTAATGGAAACGTTGGACTCCTTCTCAGCTTGGGAGACCTTGCCGGGAGGGTGAATGCCTCACTGTACATCGAAGTCCGACATCGAGGAACACCTCCCAGCCACGATGAGGTGTCAAACCATTGGGATGAAGAATAAGAAATAAGCAAAAAAAGAAATCTTATAGAAATATACGACAGAACAATAAAAAACTCACCAAGTGTTTTTTAGTCCAAAATATACGAAACGATAATCGCCATGGAAAGGGTTGTCATCACCATCCGTCCAATTCTCGCAGTTGGCCCAATCGCTCGTCAACATTGCTGGTATGTGGTACATGTTTATACCGTAGCTGAAGCCAAAAACTGACTATTTCCTGCTTCTAATAAAACAAGAACAAATTTAAAACAATGAACGTAATGATGTGTGAGTCATTTGAATAGAGTGGACATACGGCTATGCCCCTAAATAAAAGGTATATATCGATAAATCCAATACCACTTTCTATGACATGATCTTACCTTTTTTGGAAATGCCAGTCTTTTAAATACGGAGGTTCTGAATCGACAGCAGCATCCAGGCTTTCGCAGTAGTCGCAAAACTTATTGAACGTAATCTCATCGGGATCACATTTGCTTTCCGTGATTACAGGAACCAATCCTTCACCTAGATTGAGTTACTATATGTATATTTAAGACCGATAGATTTAAATATTCATCGATTGGCACTCACCGTATAGCTTTCTAAGATAATCCAGGTCTGGCGTACCATCTTCACGAACCCATAATTCTCGAGAAGGCCAATCGGTCGTGAACGACTCGTGTAGAACACATGGCTCATTTTTGATGCAAAAATTAGCGAATTGTGCTAGCCACGACATCTCTCCAACTTGTAAATGGCGAATTCGTCCACCATTGATTGTCGCCACCTCCAGAGTCATCACAGAGAGCTGAAACCTTTGTTGAATGAAAAATGACATAAGTGAAAACACTCCTGGAACCAAGTACGGGAAAAAAACAGTAGGGACTCTATGCTGTTTCAAATCACTCCCAGCTACCAAGCACACTAAAAAATGAAATTAACAGTGCTCAAAACAGAAACGTGGATGGATTCGAAGTTGTACATATTTATAACAATGAAATTAGTGGGAATAAGAGAGAGAATTGCAAGTGAACATTCTCGACACATTCGCGATGGGAGGCACTGATTTCAGTGAGCAGGTGGTAGACAACTGAAGTGCGTACAATAGTTCCAACTCCGATGATTTTTTTTCGCACTCTTCCCCCTTACACTATTGGCAGTGGTTTCTTTTAGATAAATATTCGCTCGACAGCTTCACAACCACAGAAATTGTATCAGCTGTCGGCCGCAGAAATATATTTCCAGTACTCGATTGTTTACAAAGATTCTCCCACCGATAAGTTTGCTCGTCAGCTCACACAGAATGCTGCTGCCAGGAGGGATACCATGATATTCTCCTTGGCGAATTAATGAAGAGGTTACTAAGATGTCGGTGTCGTAAAGAATACAAATACATAGATTCTGTGGTCATTAACACAAATGAGATGAAACTAATCTTTCGATAAAAAAGATAAACGATAAAACTTTCTGTGTTGATCAATCAGTGATGGATGTGCCATGCATTTGACATCATTAAACATCGTTAGAGGTGATTGAATACGTATCTGGTCCATAACTCGCGGTGTCCTACCGATGCATCGAATAAGTGCTACTATCCCTCAGATAAGTCTAGTACCAATTTGCCGACCACAGATGGATGTTTGCCGACCACAGATGGATGGATGGCTAGGTGGGCGTTGGGTGCGGGACTAATCCTATGTTGCAGGGCGCTTCTAACCATTGCACTACACGTGTCCATGTTTGGATAACCAATGACTTTCTACAATTACATCACTTGAGAATCTTTGAACTTTAAAGACCAGTAGAAATTGACCTGCTGCTCCAAAGACGTGGACAACTTTTCTAAGGTGTTATAACTATTCTAAATTTGCATAAAATTCAAATCCACAGAAAACAAAGATCCAGAAAAAACCCTATGTGATTTTTAAAATTTTTTAACATAAGACCATCAGGTGCAAATATAGGCGTAACATGGACATCATTACACTCTGTTGTATGAAACTCTACTTGTTCAATCCGTTCGCTGTTCAAAGTACGAGCTTTGACGAAGAACCGTACCGGACTAACCAAGCGTGCCATTATTCAGGAGTCCAGAAATTCGTACTATACTTGCTTGAGAAGAGAAAAACTGGCAGCGATTGCACGTGGTGACATCTAGAAACGCCCTAGCACAGCTATCCTAGGATTTCATGGAGAACCACAATGAGCGTTCAGCCATATTCATAAGGACAAAATCAGCAGTTGAACCTATACGTAATTTCGAAGATTTCTGTGCATGAAGGATACTAGATAACGAACGAAATTGAAAATGTAATAGAAGGCGTACAATATGTGTAGTTGAACCGTATAAAAAGAAGCTATACTGGTTAAAGTTGGGACAGGCATTTAATAATAATGCACGTTGTCACGAATATCTTGATTGCGTTTGGTGCTGACTAAGTTGTACGACCTACCAACGGTTTACCGCCTCATCGTTTCTGGGAATAACACTGTCTTGCTGATCTTCCACTGAATACAGAGACCTTGCATTCAGACAGGTAACGTGTGAAGAGCCTAGCCAGTGTGTTTACGAGGACTGGCGGAGGGTTCTTCAGGTGTTCAGGTCTTACCCTGTTCGGACCTGGTGTTGTTCGATTTCTCGCCGACGAAATAGCATGTCGGATTTCGGAAGGGAGGACCGGTGTTACGACATATACAACCTCCTTTATTTTATATGAGAGCAGGAGGACGTGGCTACTGAAGAGATCGGAGTAGTAGTCGTGAATGATTTTCTCCATTGCTTTTCTGGAAGGTATAAGGGTTCCGTCTGGACTCCTGAGTGCAATTATTTTGGTCCTGTAATTGGCGAAGCTTCGGTGACCTTTTCCAATGCCCTTCCCGGCCTCTACAGTTTAGACCATAATCGCTGTTTCCTTTCTTTAACATACTTCTTTTTGCCGCCCATCTGCATTGTTTTGCAAGTTCGGATGCGACTTTGTGGTTGCTTGTAACTCGTGGAATTCCACGCTGGTGTATCAGCTCAAGTGTTCCTGGAGACAAACGTCTCTGGGTGACTTTCGAACTCTCAGCTTTCATAGCGCTAACGTGAAATAGTTGAATGAGCCGATCGTATTCTTCGTCGATGTTATTGACAACGGCATCTTCCCAACAGTCGACTAATGAATTGAATAAATCCCAGTTTGCGGTGGTTCTGGGACTTCGGCTTTGGAATTTAGCGACTTTATCTCCTGGCAAGAAATAGAATCTTGCACGAAGACGATGATGGTCTGATCCTGTGTAGAATTTTGGGACAACAGCGACATCGGTTAAGCAAAAACAACTATGATGTGGTCTACTTCGTTATAGTACTCTCCATTGGAAGACTACCACGTCCAGCGCTGAGGGTGGGGCTTCTGGAATTGCGAGTTACCATGGATTGTCTTGGTCGCCATGATAAACTCAAATAGCCGCTCACCCTGTTCGTTCCATTCTAATCCGTGGGTCCCAGTGTGACGTTCTTCATAGACCTATCTTGGCATTAAAATCTCCAATGATGACCTTTAAGAATATGTGGTCTTCTTCAAATCCATATTGAACGCTTCGACTTCTTCTTCGTCATAGTTTGATGTCGGCGCGTAAACGACGAAGATTGTCAGAACCGGAATTGATCCACATCTTTTTAATCGTAAACATCGTTTCGGGTTGTTAGTTGTTCGAATGAATCGATGTTCACGGACAAACTCGTGTTGACGAGAACGCCGACGCCGCCGACTCCTCTACTGTCGCATGTTCCGAGGATCGGTTCTTCTCCGATGTCATAGACGGCGTTGAAAGGCTGGCGTCTTCTCGTCTCGGCCAGGCTGATGACGTCGTACTTTATCCTTCTTGCTTGCATGAGCAAGTCTGCTATCGAGGACTCGGATGCAAGCATACGTGCATTGTAGGCGCAGATGGTCACCATAGTTCTTTGAAATCCAAGGTCCCTTTTTTTTACTGTTTAGCTTTTGATACCCATAACCAGTTGGCTGGGCTCTGAACGTGGGAGCTAGGTATACTCACGGGTAGTTTGCCAGGCTCTCCCAGAGTGGACATGGAGCTTATTTGTTGGAGGCGACTCCTAACTGCCTCCCACATACTTTCCAATCACTTGATTGCAGGCTTTTGGCCGAATTTACTCGTAGAATACAATCCGCATAAGCAAGAACGTGTCCACACACGCATGCATGAATACGCCTGGCAGATACAGAAAGTATAAACCAAATCAGCGCAGCAGAAACTGGCAGCCCATCTCCTGGATCCACTTACGTCTCAGGGAAGCAAACGTCGCTTTTGGTCCGCGATTAACCCACTATCCGCCACCAGGGGGTGCGCCACGTAGCCTCGCCACTAACCGGTTCGAGATCTCTCATATGAGAGAGATACATCTTAACGCAGCGCTTTCAATATGTGCGATGAAGAGCGTTTCCGAAATACACCTTGATTTCAATGCGCATTTCGGTTGCGCTTCAATCACACGCGGAAGTGGCCGCGCTAGTGATAGAGTTAGTGGAAATTTTGTACAAAGCACTAATTCCGGTGATGTTGTCACTATATTTTCATTAAATGATGCACATATGAATTTGAAAGTACTCACCAAACAAAGAAAGGAGAAGAAGAGCGCTGAAGTTGGAAGAATAGGCTGGCCACCCCAAATTTCCTGGTCCCATTGTCATACCTTAACGTTCATTCACTCCGGTTCATTACCACCGACGTAGATCACACATTCAACATAGAAGTCGACCTTGTAGTAAAAACCGTCCTAGTTAGAAAGTATACAACAAGAGGTAGTGATCAACTCTGAACGCTCTGTCTCCTATTCATTTGCACGGGAACAAAAAAAGCGATAATACTTTAAATTCCGATTTTCAATGAACATCGACGTGGGCAATCACTGTTCTACTTTGCTGGTAAGCTTACTCGAGGTAGTTTCGAATCCATATTGTGGCTTAAGTTACGGTGATATCTTCCACTTCAGAGCCATGATAAGTCAAGTTAATTGGGTAACCTGCCTAATTAACTGTCTACTTCATTCGTGCGGTGTTCCATTCTACAACAGTTGATAGAATGGAGCGTCAAAAGAGTGAATTAATGTAATCCAGCGTGCTCTTTTATACAGAACTGCAGCCGCACTAAAGTGATCCTCGACCAAGTCTAATATCGTGGGAAAGACTAATTTGGTAGATCGGTAGAGCTCAACAGGTCACTGTATAAATCGAACACGCATTTAATAACCTCAATGACATGCAACGAATGGTGTTAAATGCACGACGATCCCAAAGGGATTGATCAACGCCGGCCTATTTACCGTTTACTTTTATTGTTCGGAGAAAAAAAAGTTATTATTAACGAACAGTCAGTTGATAACCGACTTGTACAAGAGGCACTGCCGAATGAGAATGCCTTAATCGAGGAGAGCCGCACCATAATCATCACGAAGACCCACATCGGACAAATGAACGGTTTTGGAGAAATGACTCGGATTAAGGTAGTTTTGAAGAAGCGAAGTGTTGGAGCGTCAGAGAAATAAAGTCTTTTCTATCAACTTTGTGTTAGCTTATCAATGAAAGAATATGCATTGGTAATGCGTTATTTTCAATTGCTACATATTTGTTATCAATTAATGAAAATGGGCTTCAGTCCATATGTGTTAAACTGAACGGCTACATGATGGCTCATCTACAATGGTTCGTTTACTGTCGGCATTGCTGTTGACTGAACACTGCTGTTCCATGGTTTCTCGACGTGAGTTTCTTCACCTTTACGTATCGAAGTGCTTACTAAGATAGAGGGAGGCGAGTAGCTCAGTGGTAGTGATGCCTTTCCTCACGAGCAAAGCACTAACTGAATTCTACCTTAAAACCACAGGACCTCTCACTCCACCGGTGTCGGAAAATTGGAATACCAGACTTGTCTGGGAGTCGTTCACTTTTTGTAATTCAAGCGGTGATGCCACTGCACGGCTAACCCAGGACTTCAGGGAGAATCGACTCGACCAGCATACGGGAACATTCGTAAACAATAAGGAAATCTTGTAATAGTTCCCAGGATCGACTTTCTCTTAACCTCGGCATTGGAATATGAATGTGTCGTTTTCTTGCTCAGCAATCGCGAGGTTTTTAAACAGCATACATTTACTTCCATAAAAACACAATACAATACAACGCTAGCTGACGTTTCGGCAGTATCGCCTTCTTCAGAGCCTGGAAGGGTATACTGATATACAATCTACTAGGCCAAACGCTTCAATAACAATTACAAAAAGACGAAAAACTCTATGGTAATTACATGATCAACAGCTTCTGGAAAAACCCACCGCTTTTTCGTGACTTCCAATGAGGAAGTTTAGAACAGCTGATTATAGTCGCATGTGGTTGACGACTG